CCTCTCCCACCATTCGACCTGCGCTTAAGGTCTGTGTGGAGGATGTGAACCGGGTCTTCAGAAAATAGAAATCTGAGAAAGCTTCAGGCCCAGACGGTGTTTCACCTGCCTGTCTAAAAGTCTGTGCTGACCAACTGGCCCCCATCTTCACACAGATCTTCAACAGATCTCTGGAGCTGTGTAAAGTTCCCAGCTGCTTCAAACGCTCCACCATCATTCCGGTCCCCAAAAACACCCAAAATCACTGGACTTGAAGGTGCATTACTACAATACATCATGTGTCATTCACCGGTGAGAAAACTTCATAGTACAGTTAGTAAAAGTACTACAATACCAGGAAGGAAGGTCAGGTTGTTCAATGATCTTATTTGTGGACTTATTGCTAAGGACCCCTCCGTCAAACACCTGAAATTTGCAGACGACACTACAGTCATCGGTCTCATCCAGGACGGAGACGAGTCTGCTTACAGACAGGAGGTTAAAGAGCTGGCTGTCTGGTGCAGTCACAACAACCTGGAGCATAACACGTTCAAAACTGTGGAGATGATCGTGGACTTCAGGAGGAACCCGCCTGCACACTCCCCACTCACCATCATGGACAGCACCTTAACAACAGTAGAGTCATTCAGGTTCCTGGGCACCACTATCTCTCAGGATCTGATGTGGGACATTCACACAGACTCTATTGTGAAAAAGGCCCAGCAGAGGTTGTATTTCCTCCACCAGCTGAGGAAGTTCAACCTGCCACAGGAGCTGCTGAAACAGTTCTACTCGGCCGTCATTGAGTTTGTCCTGTGTTCATCTATAACTATTTGGTTTGGTTCAGCTACCCAAACAGACATCAAGAGACTACAACGGACAGTCAGGACTGCTGAGAGGATTATCAGTGCCCCTCTACCCAACCTCTAAGATCTTTACATCTCCAGAGTGAGGAAAAGGGCTAAGAAAATCACTCTGGACCCCTCACATCCAGCCCACTCTCTCTTTGAACTGTTGCCCTCTGGTTGGCGCTACAGATCACTGAGCACCAAAACAACCAGACACAAGAACAGTTTTTCCCCCAGGCCATATCCCTGAACAACACATAACACACCTCAGTACTGCACATCTGTAAATAACTCAACCTTCATCTGTAAATAGCACATATGCACATTCACACTTATGTCTATGGACATTTTCATTTTCTCTGTATTTTTATTACTATTGTTATTTATAATTTATTGTCTATTCTCTTTATTATTAGTGTTTCTATTACCTTAAATATATGTACGTCTGCACCATCTTTGTACTTTCTGCACTGGAAGCTCCTAACCCCAAGACGAATTCCTTGTGTGTGTGTAAACACACTTGGCAATAAAGCTCTTTCTGATTCTGATTCTAGAGCAAAATCTGCAGTGCTGGAAAACGCCCAGTGCTGTGATTTGCTAACATCTTTGCATAAATGAGAATTACACTTGGAACTCTCTTAAAAACGTATATTGCGTTTTCACTATAACAGCCGTCAAGACTATTCGTGAAAAGTATTCTACCTGGCATTATGTTTAGATCTACTCCCGTTGCATCAGAGGTTGTCTACTAAGCACATGATGCAATTATCAAATACTTTCATCATAACTAACAGTGAAAACACGATGTAAATGAGACAGGCTAAGCAGTGCGTTGTTGATTATAACGGGAGTTTTGGCGAAAATGCAGAAATCAAATCACTGATAGACTCATGCTGATCTTGATTTGACTGCTTTGCTGAATTTTGCACCAAAACACGTCTTTCTTTACATAACAGCAGAATGGCTCTTGTGATTGATGGACATACATGAGTTATTCAGAACACACCTTAACCCTGCGTCTCAATGTTCATACTGTCCATCCTAAATAGTATGTGAGATTAGAATAAGTGTGTCCCAAAGCATAGTATGTTGAAGAGTATGCCAAAAGTCCCCTGATGGTCTACTATTTCAGGTCGATTTTTGAAGTGTGGATCCGTGCACACTATAACGGCTAAAATTGCCCACAATCCATTGCGCTTTGGCCAAGGATTCGGTCCAGAACTACAAACACGAATAAAACGCGTTAGAAAAACTACAAACGTGGCGGATGCGCGCGATCAACGGTTAGGTAGAGAGGTTTACAAAAAGGGGTTTGAGATACTAATAATCAACATTTAACCTGGTAAAAATATTTATTTATTGTTATCCGTGTTATATTTTATCTGCAACAGCAATGTGAACTTTTATAAACATCCATTTGGTCGTTAACTTTTAAATGCGTCATTATGCAGAAAATATGAGGAGTTCTCCGCATGAAAGACCTGAGACTGGCAGATCAACGAGCTACTTCTTTTCTCTCCAGTATGGTAGGAATTTAAATTAAATGAAATGTGGAGGATGTTAAAGGGGTCATATGATGCGATTTCAATTTTTCCTTTCTCTTTGGAGTGTTACAAGCTCTTGGTGCATAAAGAAGATCTGTAAAGTTGCAAAGACTAAAGTCTCAAATCCAAAGAGATATTCTTTATAAACATTAAGAGTCAACCACGCCTACCTAAAACGGCTCGTTCTAACACACCCCACATGTCTACGTCACGATGTGAGAAGATTTGCATAACGCCGCCCAAATGCTTACGCAAAGAAAGAAGGCGTAACTTTTATTCTCGCTGTAGTATTGTTGCGGCCGCCGCCATGTCGTGAAGACGCTGTGTGCTTCAAACTACTTTGTTTGGTCTTCCAAAAGAGGACGATATTGCTTCGTCATGCCTGGAACTGATTCGTGCTGGTCGCTGAGGAAATACTTCAACTTAGCCTTGACTGGGAATTTTAAAAAAAACTTTGATACTAGCCTATATTCTGTTGGAACAATCCTATTTAACACATTAAAATGTTATAAACCCTTGACTCATTCTGTGCTTTACAAAATATACTCAACTACTGATAGGTCATTAATTTCTACATGGCTTTGTGAATTTATAAACTGAATTCTTTCTCTGTTATATATTTTTTTACAGTGAATCAACACATGTCCAACTGTTTGATTCAATATGACGAATATGCATGTTAAGGGGCATGTCGAGGAGAATCCTGACATCATGGTTCTCCCAATTTCAAATCCGGGCGTTTAAGAAGGGTATCAAACAATAATGCGTATTTTAAACCATGAATTTTGACACTTGCAGTATGTTTTATTGTAAATTGGGTAACCTCGTGTTTGTGTACATCAAGAATATTTTGCAAAGAGTCATGCAAAGAAAGAGAAAACTTTATTGTCTACAACACATGAACATATAATACATTTAAATAAATGCAGCAAGGAACATAATTTACAATGTTTTTTTTATTATTACACCATAAATAAAAAAATAAACAATGTTTTTTTGCGTTTACCACAGTGCAAAAAACAACTTGCTTCCCAGAAAATGCATGAACTTTAAAAATATAGGCTACAGCTTGAATGCGATATAAATGCATACATGTAAATAAGTGGGCTGAACAGTAGTATTTCTGATGAAAACTAGTTATTCAGAGAACTCAGAAATCATCAAGTCAAGTTCAAACTCGTTGCATGAGGTCAGACCTGGTGCACAAAACCACAAGGGAGGGAACACAGAAAGGTAAACCAGGGGCACACAAATTGATGCCAGAAAGGCAGGCTTTTATGCGCAATCTTGTAAGTTTGTTCTTAGTTTATATGACTGATTGTGCAATGAACTGCAACAAAGTATGAATTGAAGTTCTGAAGGAAACGTGAAACGTAATTCAGAAAAATTTGAGTAAAGACTGTGAGAACTAGAGTACAGAGAGAAAGTTTCAAAACTAAATGGAATATCAGAGAAAAGTGTATGGAGCTTAACAGGCGAGACAGTATGATTGGAATGAGACCCTGTCGTGAGTATTATCATATGGAAGAAAAATAATGACAAATGTCTTTGAAACAAAAAAGCATGTTGAACTGCACTACTTGAAAAAAGAATGCATTGCATTAAGTGCTTGCATTTGAATGCCTTGTATTTTCAGGGCTTTCATTTTTGGGGGCTGAAGTTTATTTAAGCCGTGAATATTTCAATTCAAAACATTTCACACACATTTTCATAATTAAAAATGAAAAAATCCATATGCACCTACCAGAGTCCACTTCCAAAATATTCAGTCTGTTTAAAAATACAATGTAGGCCTACTGTATAGCGGTGTAACGATCCATCCATATGGATCGATACATCGATTAAATTGTCTAATGATACGATGTATCGATCTATGCATTACCGCCAACGCGTGCATTCTCGTTCAAACGCACGTGTCGGGAGGATAAGACTGCCCGAAGGGCGAGCGTAAAAGACGCTCGGGATAGTTGACGGAATTGTCGAGTGCTTGTTTTTTATTTTTATTTTTTTTATTTTATTGATTTCCAACATATAATATAAAGGTACTGAACAAATATAAACTACAACAAAGAAATAGAAAATATACAGTATATTATAAATAATAATAATACAGGTAAAAAAATAAAAAAATAAACAGAAAAAAGAACAGGTATGAGATCATCATATAAATAACATGAAAGCTTCACAAAGAGACCTAGTGCGTTTTGCTTTACTGTTTTTCAACCCAAGTAGTAACTCAATATAATTTTTCATATCTATCTGAAATAACAAAAAGTTGGGTTTTCCTTTAGCCCATTTCTGTTTATGTATATGGTATTTCCCCATAATCAAACAAAGATTAACAATAAAGGCCACATTTGGTGGTAATCTTTGTCTATTAAAATAAAAAAATACATATTTTTCAGAAAAGTAAACTTTCATGCCTAGGCATTTACAAAGGAAACATTCCAAATCTATCCAAAAACTACAACAAAGAAATAGAAAATATACAGTATATTATAAATAATAATAATACAGGTAAAAAAATAAAAAAATAAACAGAAAAAAGAACAGGTATGAGATCATCATATAAATAACATGAAAGCTTCACAAAGAGACCTAGTGCGTTTTGCTTTACTGTTTTTCAACCCAAGTAGTAACTCAATATAATTTTTCATATCTATCTGAAATAACAAAAAGTTGGGTTTTCCTTTAGCCCATTTCTGTTTATGTATATGGCATTTCCCCATAATCAAACAAAGATTAACAATAAAGGCCACATTTGGTAGTAATCTTTGTCTATTAAAATAAAAAAATACATATTTTTCAGAAAAGTAAACTTTCATGCCTAGGCATTTACAAAGGAAACATTCCAAATCTATCCAAAACATTTAGATATAAATGCAGTAAAAAAATAAGTGCACAACATTTTCTTTCTCAGTCCCACAGAAATCACATATAACATCTACATCTGTACGAAATCTAAGAAAAAGAGTTTTAACAAGGTACACCAGATGGAATATTTTAAAATGTACTTCTCTCACCTTATTTGTTATGCACTGTTTTTTAGGCAGCAACCATGCATATTTCCAGTCAATGCACTCTTGTCGAGCACTTGTGAGAAGTTTTCAGAAACCTACCCATCGCGTAGCATATACACGCCAAAGTCCATTTTTGCGTATCAATACCACGAGTTTTCGTTTTTATTTGGCGTACTATTTATACGCACTTTCATGACACGCGCACACATCCCAAGCGCACGCATACAGACAGCCGCATCTACAGCGCGCTAATACCTAATTGAGCTCTCTTCCGCTCTTTTGTGCATGGATGAACAAAAACAGACTAAATTACATCAACATGTCGCCTTGGCGAATATCCTAGTAAACACAGTCGGTTAGACCTATGCCTTAACGTAAACAGTGGAGAAAGAAAACGCATGTGTATCAGTATATTGGATCCTTCTTAAAGTGAAAGCAGACTAACAGAAAACATCTGTCAAAGAAAAAAATCTCACTGATTTTGACTGAACAACTTTTATAAGGATTAATCTATATTTAATCTATACAGTGAAGACTATGCAGTGTTATTTTACATTTGATTATTACATTTCTGTACCTGAAAATTTATTTTAGATCTACCTGAAAAACCTGAAAAGCACTGTTCATTTAATTTGTGTCTTTGTTATGTTGCATTTATTTTCTGCTATTGCTTGTAATTTGGTTATCTGTAGAAAAGGGTTTTAGCACTGAGCCCATAGTAGCAGCCAAAAAAAGTATCAAATAAAATTTTAACAGCTTTATTATTATTTTTTTCTACATTAATGTATTTTTTCTACAACTGGAGTACCTCGTTTGTGTTGTCTCCTAATGATGATTTACATTATTTTACACATTGCATATTTTAGCACAGAAACCTGAAAGACTGTTGTCATATCTTAAGATTACTGATCTTGTGTGTGACTTGATTTTTTTTTTTTTTATTATTAATTTTTCTTTATTATTTAAAAAAAAAGTGTAGGCCTATTTTTTCAATTGAGGAACATGATGTGAAATTTTAAAATAAATGTTCATGTTATATGTTTTGGTTGCATTTGTGAGTTAATTAAAATGTAGATGGTTGTTTAAAATAGGTATATAATATAATAATATCGATATATCGATCGATATTCTCCTGTATCGAAATCTGCAAATATCGTATCGCTGGGTATGAGAATCAATATCGTATCGTATCATGACGAACCATCCGATTTACGCCTATAGTACTGTATAATATACGACAAGCAATGTTAACATGTGTGTTTCATATTTATGCATTATATAAGCTACACATAAGCTAAACTGATTTTGGTTTTTATTTCCAGTGTCTCAAGGCGCAGACAGACCTGAACGTGTCATTCTGATGGGTCAGAAAGGATCAAATATGAGGTGAGATATTCACCACAAAGAGAACAGGAGAGAAAACATGATTGTCATCATCAGTTATGATAATATTCTCTTCCTACTCATTAATATGAATTAGTATTTGGAAATAATGGTGAAAGAGCATCCCTGAACAGTTTGAATCATTAGATTATTATTTTTTCTTTAGCAATCACAGCACATTAAAATCTCCTGGACCCGTCCTCCTGACAGCATCCCAATCAGCACAACTGAAATGCCTTCATGAAACTGAAAATCACCTTCCATTTAAAACTGATTTAAATTAGTGCAGCTTATACAATTACAATAATATGAAGTTAGATATATGTGACCCTGGAGCACAAAAGCAGTCTTAAGTCGCTGGGGTATATTTGTAGCAATAGCCGGAGGTCAAAGGTCCGGAGGGAGTTCAGCTTCCTGACAGCCTGATGGATGAAGCTGTCCTTCAGTCTGCTGGTCCTGGCCTGGAGACTCCGCAGTCTCCTCCCTGATGGCAGCAGACTGAAGAAGCTGTGTGTTGGGTGGGTGGGATCACCTCTAATGCAGAGGGCTTTGCGGGTGAGACGGGTGTTGTAAATGTCCTCCCTCCTGGAGGGAGGGGAGAGAGGCACCAACGATCTTCTCAGCTGCTCTCACTATGCGTTGAAGTGTCTTGCGGCAGGACGCGTTGCAGGCGCCATACCACACAGTGATGCAGCTAGTCAGAATGCTCTCGATGGTGCCTTTGTAGAAGGTATATATTCAGTATTAGCATGATTTTAAACAGAAATGCCTGTGATTGGCTACAATACTCAATGCTGCAAAATCATTTTTTGATATATATTTGATATTTTTCGAAATGTGCTACGTTGAACAATCAGCTAGCTTAATTTACTTGCTTTTGTCTTTTATTAAACAATTACAAATTATATTATACATAGCAATATATCTCAGTTAATCCTGCAATAAAAATATACCACTTTGCATTAACCTGACCAGGTAATCGCCAATTATTTAAATATATATTCAAAATGTTAATTTATTTAAAGTGAACCATGGTTATACATTTTCAGATGCTTTGCATTGTCAGAAAGTTATTACTAGTCTATTGAATATAAAGCAAGTAATGATGAATTCAGGTGCATAACATTTTTTTTAGGGGGGCTGAGTAGAAATTTATGGAACTAAAGCCCTCCTAAAAATGGCCTAGCGACGCCCATGGCACAAACTTTGAAATAAAATGCAACGATGACCCAGATCAGAATATTGTGTTAATTCTAGTGAACTGAACTGTGACCGAATCAGATCAAATGCTTGAGATGTTTGGACACAACATGAAAGAGAAGAAAATGGAGATCTGAGAAGTAAGTCACAACACAAGCTTGTGAATTGAAGCAAATACATCATGTGAAGCCTGTCAGATGCAAAAGTATATAGTGGAAAAATTAAACTGTGACTAGTTTAGTCATTATATCACTTTTATAAGAAATACAGGATGAAATGGAAAATAAAATCATACATTGCTACAGAACAGACTACAACACAAATCATTATATAACAACAAATAATAGGCTATGCACAAACCAACCGAGCATATTCATTCAAAAACAGATCACCATGTGTATTTCATTTAGGTTTCATAACCGATTTTATTTTCTCTTATATTGTAAGTGTCAATTTAAACAGGAATTGAAAAATATTTGGTGCCATTCTAGTTGAAAAAATATAAATACACACTTGATCAATGGTCAGTTGTAACACCCCTGTGGACTGTTTATTGTGGTTTCTTCCCCTTTTGTTGAGCGGAACTCCGGATCTCTTCCTTGGTCACCAGAGCCCTCTGCTCCACCCTGGCCCCCCGGATCCTCGGCATGGCCCTGGCTCGTTGGTTCTCAGTCTCCGCCTCAGGCTCCTCTACCACCTGCTCCGCCGCCGTTGGTCAGCCCCCTGGAGTGGGTGGACATTCCTCCTCCATGGCTCCTCCCTCCGTCGGCTCCACCATGGGCCGCTATTATGGCTGTGGCCTGGGTCCCACCTGGCTCCTCCTCCTGCTCCGGTTCCCTCCTGTCGTCTCCCTGGCTCCTACCTCCATCGTCCCCTCCCTGGAGTCTGTTAGCCGTCCTCCTCCTGGAAGTCCGTCCTCCGCCGGAACCTGTCGGTTATTGTGTATGTTACCCAGAGTGTGTGTGTGTGTGTCTCCCCTACCTGAATCTGCCTTGTTGTGTCTACATTAAAAATCATTATTGGAATCCTTGTCGTCCTGCCTGCCTCCACACACCGTGACATCAGTATGGTGTTTAAAACCTTGAATTCAGTTAAAAAAAGTAAATGCATTCATGAAATGTTACATACATTTTGTTTTTTTTAATCAATCTCAAAATGTAGTGATTTCAATGCAAGAAAGTCTTTTCAAAATGTGCTCAATGCTTCAAGCTCTAAACAGCTAAACTAACAAAACAAAACCATGGTTTGTTCATGATATGGATGATGATTTTATGGATTAACTTTGCCATTGATTCTCAAATGCAGTTAGTATGATTAATTTAACTCCTCAATACAAATTGTATCCATTAATAAACTGTAGTGATTTACAGCAACACACTAGTTTTCTGTAATCTTACTTTGACCTTTGTCAAATGATCAAACTTCTCTATTAATTTTATCAAATGACACTCTGAAACTGATTCCAGCTTCTGCTTAATCTGAATTTTTAAATATTTACTTAAAAGTGATGGTAGTGAACATGAATTTTGATCACTTAGACAACTTTGGGCAATGCTTTTTCTTATGTTTTAGTAGAGTAGATGAGAAGGTGAAATTCCTACCACATGAAGAGCACTGGTACGGTTTTTCTCCCGTATGAACTCTCAAATGATCTTTCAGGATTCCTGACCGAGCAAAACTCTTTCCGCAGTGTGAGCACTTGTAAGGTTTCTCTCCAGTGTGAATCATCTGGTGTTTTTTTAAGTGGCTGGTTGTAGTAAAGCTCTTCCCGCAGTGAAAGCACACATGAGGTCTCACACCATGAATACTCTGGTGCACTTTCAAAGAGTTCAGATGTGCAAAACTGTTTCCACAAAAAGAACAAATGTGAGGATTCACACCAGTGTGAATTTTAAGGTGATCTCTTAAGTATCTTGCCAAAACAAAAGTTTTATCACACTGATCACAGCTGAATGATCTCACTCCAGTGTGAGAGAGCTGATGATCTTTGAGAGAGCTATTGTATGTGAAACTCTTTCCACACTGAGTGCATGTAAATGGTTTTTCTCCAGTGTGAATTTTCATGTGCACATTTAAGTGTCCTTTATTTTTGAAACTCGTTCCACACTCGGAGCAGGTGCACAAACTTTTGGCGCCAGTTTTTTGAAAACTTTCATGTATTATATTCTTTTCAGTCTGTAAAATGATAGCATTTCCGTCTTCATTTGTGAAATGATGATGTTTCTGAAAGTGATACCGTTTGCCTTTCATTTCCATTAAATCTAAAAGCAAAACAATCAATTACCAAAAATTTTATTAAAGAAGAACACATGGGAAACGATAAGAAATATAAAGTCCCAATTTATAGGCCTATGCATCGTCAGGGTTTGTAATCGATGTATCGAGAAAACGAGTGAATCGTTACACCCCTAATCCAGACTCTAAATAATGACACATATCAAAAGAGTGTCATGTTCATCTACTGTACATAACTGTTATTTTTTAATTATATTTTAGTCTTTATCTTCTCAAAAGTGTCATCACTTATAATCAAAAATGAGGTCTAGATTTCCAGCACTGTTAAACTATCAGTTCTTCAATTCTCACAGCAGCTGAAAGGTAATCAGACATCCATTAAACCTGTGAATGTGTGAGAAATAAAGACAAAGGAAGAGTTTACAAATCACAGATATCAGATTTTCTTGCGGGTGCGCAAACACAATCGTGTCAGTAAGCCCTCAAATCACAAGAGATGTCAAAACAGGCGCGACAAACACGTTTGTCCTGCAGAAAGCGTTGAGGCCACGCTACTAAAACCCTGAGGAGAATAATCCAGAGAGAAAGGAAATTAGAAACAGAAATTTACACTTATTTGGGTCTAGATCAAGCAGCAACCTCCCGCTCTCTCTCGTGAAACCAACACGGAAGTGACTTAAACTGTAATTCATCTACTGGCCGCTAGAAGCTGGCTGCAAAAGGGAGTCAATCCCATAGACTCCCCATGTTAAAATGCGCACTTTTACAGC